CCTGTTTGATCCACATTATTTTTTCATTCTCAATCTTCTATTCATTTTTAACCACACATTTTTCAATAAAATAATATTTTTCATCACATCAATAACTTTTCCTTCTTTTTCAACCACATATTCCCTATCACATCAACAGTAAAAATGCATTCTTTTTCCATAAATGTGCACCAAACGGGGGCTAAATCATGTCCAATATGCACGTCTCTCCCACGTCTCATCTATTTGTCAATCGATCATCATCTAACTTTTTATTTTTTTTTACAGAGATTGTATCACTCATATAAACGAAAATTAACTCTTTACGCGGATTATAAATTTATTAGAAAAATGCTAAGTGTACATAATTATTGTACATAAGGGTTTTGTGGGCTCCACCCCATGTGAGGGTTATGGACACAAATGTGGGCTCCACCCTATGTGAGGGTTATGGACACCCCTATGTACAATAATTATGTACACCAAGTAAAGTCCAATTTATTATAGTGTAACCACTTTTTCTATTTTATCCCCTTTGGTTACGGTGAAAATTACATCTAAAAATTAAAGATGTTCAAAAGTCAAGCTCCAAAAACGATGTAAAACTATATTCAAAGGATAAATTCATCACCTTCTCTAGGTGAACTTCCACCTTTTAGGTCACCCAACCAGACAAATGCACGTTTAGTTTAAAGGAGTCTTCTTCAATATTGTTCAGTGCTATTCAATCGTCTCTTCCAAACATACCTCGGAACAAACGAGAGGTGTAATTTTGATCGGGGCCGTCACACTTGACAAAACAAACCCCTAGAAAAAAAATTAAGTCCTTGTTAAGCGGAAATTAAATTTTAATTTTTAATCTAAATCAAAGTCAATAATTAACTTTAAACTCGTATTTTATGGGATCCACAATTTTTTAACTATATATTTCGTCAATTTTTATCAAAATTTAATAAAAATTTAATTTTAATCCCTACCGAACATTGCTGAAAAAAGTGAAATAATATCCTACAAATGTTTTGCAATAATCTTATCATTTAGGTAAATCATATGGAACCTTGCTACACTTACACACTTTAATACACAATCTCCTACACAACCCTCTCACATATGTGTGGATCCCACAATGTGGGGCTCATTGTGGACCCCACACACATGTGAGAGGATTGTGTAGGAGATTGTGTACCAAGTACAAGTAGCATTTTTGAAATCATATGGGATCCAATATCTTACAATTGCGACAAGTCATATCAGATGGGACCAAAGCAGTAGTTCAGCCATTCCTACACCAACAAATTGCCAATTTCTCGTCTAAAGTAAAGTCGATTACTTTTGC